GTACGATCATCAAATTGGGAGATGCAGCATACCACGATATCCTGGCTTCGGCTGGGCTTGAAATAACCCTTTTGCTGTTCTCCGCTCTTTGCCATCAGTGGCTTCCTAGGTTCGAGCGAATGCATTTGTGTAGCTGAGACGTGTGTCTACGTGAAAGAACATGTGGAGAGAGTCGTATTGGCATTCGCATCAAGCGCATTGCGCATTTTTCGAATTTTGGCCCCCTTCTAGGGACCTTGATTTTTACCCGCTGGCACTGACGTCTTTTAATTGGTCAGCCGGTTAGCGCGGTCGATGCTAATAATAAAAACACACACGCGAATGATTATGTCGAGCTACTGTAGCACAGCAGTAGTACCCACACCCAGGGATCCATTCATGCTTCTATATCATCTGCACGCCCGTCCTCTCGCCAGACCACTTCAAGTAACGTGATGATGATGCTCTGGCAACTGCGCGTTGTTTATTTTATTTTCGCTCTCGTGACTCGATCTATCGGTAGGTTCTTTGGACTGAACACCCCACCCACACAAAGCAATCGCCATCAATCACCATCCACCCCGACGCGTCGGTATGTTGACAACCCGCGTGGCAGAATATATGAACGGCATCGGGGTAAGGAAAAGAAACGAACACGGTGACCTTTGTTGGTCATTGCCCCATCTGCGTCGTACGTTGAACCGCTGCACATAGAGAAGTATGCCACCTGATATGCCGCAGGCCCATTGAGAAAGAAAGTAGGATTCGACAAGAATATATCGCATTTGCTCCAGGGCATGGAATGCAATCAGTTGTGGCCAATTTGCGCCTCTTGAGTAAAGGAATGGGGGCGTTGTAGTCCTACTATTTTTTTCTGCGTGCAGACGCCAGCGTTCCGAGTGCAACGAAAGAGCAGTCGAACGCAGCCTACCATACTAAGGACCTAAAATGGTCTATGTAGACAGCTAACAACGAAACACTGGTGTGCTTTTCCTTGCTTGGAATCTGAAGGCAAAGCTCAACACCACTCAACGGCAACCCACTACTGGGATGTCTCCTGGGACTTAAAATCCCTCGTCACCGAGAAGCTTCCACCAGTTCGAATGGGGGGGGGCTCTTGACAATCGGACTCAGTCCTGCTGCTGCTCCTTCGGCTGTTGTTCGCTTTCCGGTGCTCCTCCGCGCATGCACAGATTTCACCGCGGCCTGGTTTCGTAATCAAGACGAAGTTGTTTGACAAGTGCTGGAAAGTGTTCGTCAACTTCTGCCAGCACGAGAGCATCGGTGAGTCGAGCATGGTCAAGAAGCTAGACACGGAAGGCCAAGAGATGGCGGCAGGTTGCGTTTCGATTGGTTGTCGGAATCTCGTTGTGAATGACCGGCGACATCAAAGGGTAGAGGGAGGATAACTCGGGGTTGTATGGCGTGTTGGCGCGAGCCGTATTCAGTTTGTTATGCGCAGGGTTCATGAGAACTGATGGTACCAAGCTCATTCAAGAGCACTGGCAGTAAGCGCCTAGGCTTTTGATGGGACGAGGAGCCGTGCCTTGTACCGTTTCGAGTCTGTTTTCTTCAGTCCCACAACCTCATTTGGCGATGATCGTTCTAAATATCCAGTCGATGGTTGATAGCGACAAGATGCGTTCTGCGTTGGTGACGGCATTTATGAGTTTCTTGGAATACTCGAATAAGTCCCCCCTCTCCCTTTGGCATCTTTTCGGCCACGCGTATGCATTGTCATTTTCATTATCGACAGTACGGAAGGTTACGTCCTTTCTTTTTTGCGCCTTTCAATACAACGCAAAGACAGATGGAGCGTTGAGGTATTCGGGCTCGACATCCGCTGCCACGTTTGATTTTCAGTATTTGAAGTCTCTTTGTAAATCTCGGAGATGCGTTTGTGGTTCTTTCCGCGGGGCTCGATCACGTCGTGAGCTGTGGCTCGATGCCTTTCCTTCATTGACAATGGCCCTTATCTCCGTTTCCTGTGATATCACGTTCCGTATTGGCAGGTGGAGGGCTTGAACATCCCGGTGAGCGTAGGACCTCCGTCCGTAGACAAGGACAACGCTGGGCTAGAGTGCATCGTGTATGACGTCATCATCAACCCGAAGGTGTGCTCTTAGGGTGGTTCTTATCGACCGAGAAAACACGGAATATTTCACGGAACCGTTTTTTCTTGAACACATATGGAGGCGTTTTTCCCCGAAAACGTGAAAAGAGGAAGCCGGGATTTTTTGGGGCTTGGTCCTTTCACGGTTCCGGGGAAAAACGCCCCGCTTTTTCCGGGCAGCCGAAGCAGACACCGGTCACGCGTGCTGCCTTCATCACACCACACCTAGACAGCACCCACAACACCCCAAAAAGCTTCCCACGGCAAGTCGACCACCATGGCTGAGCGCGGGAAGCGCCAGGATCCCACAGACCCCGCAGCGCAACGCTGGGAGAAGCGCCGTCGACGAGCTATCGACGAGGAGAATGCAGCCCAGGAAGACAAGAGATTCACGGTCCTGGGTCTCTGAGGGCCGTAGTAGTGGCGGCGGGCGTGGTGGCAGCAGGAGAAGCTCATCGAGCCCACTGCCCTCAGGAACGGGAGCCCATCTACGAGCCCAAGCGACTTCCGTGGGCCCAACACGAGGCAGACCTCGATAAACGGCGCGGCTGGCGGCGGTCGTACCGCATGGAGAAAGGCAGTTTCCACAAGCTCGTCGAGCTGCTCCGCCCTTCGCTCGAAGTCAACGCCTTCTTCGGCGGTGAGTGTTGATGTGTAGATGATGCAGCCGCCCACGGCACGTATGCGTAAGGCTCCCTCTGGCGTACATATATATATATAT